CCTGTTGGCCCCGTACCGGCCCCCCGGGGTCAACAGGTTAAAGGAGCTTCTACGAAAAACGTCAATTAGAGTTAGCGGTTAGCAGCTAGCGCTGGCCACAGATCAGTGATGGTTTTAATCAACGTGTTGCAGCGTGAGCTGAGTTGATCGTCACTGGATGCTGTGATCCGTTGCTGCAGTGTTTTCATTTCCGGCAGCAGAAACAGCTGATCAGGCAGGTAACATAAAACACTAGATCAGAACTTATTGGATTGTTTCCTTTTCCTCTTTACTCTTTTTTTAGGTCAAAATCCCATAAAGTCAGAATTAAAAGTATTCAAATGTTGCTGTTTCCTTAAATCTCTTCCAATTACTAACTTCTAATAGTAACTTTTATTTTAATAGATGAACAACAAGAAGCAGAATCATCATTTATTGACCGAAATGTTGAATCTAGGCGCCTCTGCAGACGTTTACATTGACACCAAACATACCTGGTGAGCTGCCAGGTGGTCAAAAGAAGGGGTCCCAGGGGCCAAAGGTCAAAATGTACTAGAGGGGAACCCCCCCCGCAACACACACCTGCGGCACCGCTGAACCCCCGAGGCCGTCCTCACACCTCGACCAGCACGGGCTCATAGGCAGGAACAAAGGAGCCCCAGCAGCTCCCCAACTGGCCCCTGCTTGGCCCCCTCCCCTCCCACCAACACAAACACAGTGGAGACAATAGCTGGGCGCCCCCAGGGGCCCCCAATGCTCCCTCCCAGTTCTTTTATATTGTTCCTCAGCGCTCGCTCAGGAGGAGCGACTGCTGCAAAGTCAGAGACTCGATTCAACCGGCCGGGTTCTTTCAAAACGAAAACATTTCCCCCATCGGCGAAATAAACCGAACCGCAGAGGAAAAAAACAATTTAAATATTTAATCAAGAGGCAGAATAATATGAAGGAGGTAAAGGCAGGGGCCACCATAGCGCCATGTCATTAGCATGCCTTCAAGCTAGAACAGGCTTTAACTCTTCAACTTTACTGGAAATGATTTTTCTAGGTCCTTCATTTCTACCCGCAGGTAGATTTGTTCAGCAGAGGTTTAAAACACATACATGCCCACATGCAATGTAGAAAGTAAAAACATCAGCAGGACCATCGGCAAACGCTGGTGCTGATTCTCAGTTATCCAGGTCATAGTTGTTCCAAAAAAGTTAAAAAATAATCAATCCACTGGACTTGTTTCCAAGTTTGAAGACGTTTCTCTTCCATCCCGGAAGATTTTTCAATTCAAAATGTCAGAAATAGCGTTTAGTTCCAGGTTTTATCCAGCAGCCCAACAAAGCCTGGTTTTAGTTTAGAAAACATGCAAATAGAAACTAAAGAGGATTTTCTCCAAACACAAAATCCCAGAACATTTAAGACCAAACAGACCCTTAAACAGAGACTAGTTCATCCTAAAGACCAACCCCCCCAATCTGAGCAGAGTGTCTGCAGGTCAATGCAGCGAGGAATGATCTGATCTTTATATTGGAGAAACCAAACAACCTCTCCACAGACGCATGAACCAACACAGAAGAGCGCCCTCCTCTGGACAAGACTCTGCTGTCCACCTGATGGACAAAGGACATTCTTTGGAGGACCAGAATGTTCACATTTAGGACAAAGAAGACAGGTGGTTATAGAGGAAGGAAGCCATCTATGTTAAGAAAAAACAACCCTTAAAGTCGTAGGGAATCATATTTAAATGTCAAATAATTCTGGCTTAAACATGTATATAAATGTTCTCTTCATCAGACTATATCATCCCAAAATTTTGAAAATGAATATTTTTAAAAGAATCCTGTCTTAAAATAAGTGGGTTTTTTTTTTCTTTCCATTATCTTCTGCAGGCCAGTTAGTTCTACGTCAGCCTGAACACCTAAATTCGGCCAATCATA